GAAAAAAAAAAAAAAAGAAGTGAGAGGCGCAGCAGGTCGGAGGAATTGCAGTAGGTCGGAGGAATTGCAGCAGGCCGGAGGAAATTGCAGCAGGTCAGGGGAATTGCAGCAGGCCGGAGGGAATTGCAGCAGGCCGGAGCAACTGCAGCAAGCCGGAGGAAGTGCAGTAGGCCGAAGGAATTGCAGCAGGCCACGCGAGAAGAAGGAAGGCATACGGAGGAGAAATATTGCAGAATTTATAGAGAAAAGGTTGGGATATATAAATAACTTTCAGCAACATAACCTTTGTTGCTGAAAGTTTACTTTTTATTAGTTGAAAGTTTACTTTTTATTAGCAACTTATACCATGTTGCTAAAACTCATTCGAATTTGAATTTTTTTACTCATCATCGATATGCATTATATTGCTAAAATTTAAAATAAAAAAAACTCCCGCCACACTATCAAATGATTAAATTTTAAATAATTAAAACTTTTAGCAATATAATTCTTGTTGCTGAAAATTACAATAAGAGACATGTTGCTAAAAATGAAATCTTTATTTGGGGAGAAAAGTCCGGTGGAGGGCTACCGGAAAATATCAGCAACATAGGGTATGTTGCTGATATTTACTTTCAGTAATATACTCCTTATTGCTGAAAGTGAAGCAGCTTTTGGAATGAAGAAGTGTACTGCATAGCTTTTAGCAACTAAAACTTTGTTGGTGATATAATTTTTCAGCAAGAAAGGGTTTCATGTTGCTGATATTTGTTGCTAAAAGTCAAAATTTTAGTAGTGTATTTTAAACATAAAAAATTAAAAAAAATTAATTTTTTTTCATTTAAATTAATAAATTATTAATATATATCACTACTAAAATTTCAACCTTTAGCTACATGGGAGCATGTTGCTGAAAGTGCTTGCCTCGTTGCTGAAAATGCTTGCAATGTAGGTGAAATCCTTTTAGCAACATAGCTTTCGTTGCTGAAAACTTTGTTGGAAATGCCTTGGTGGCTGATACATTAGCAACTGATACATGAGCAACAAAGAGTATGTTGCTAATGTATCAGCAACATACTCCTTGTTGCTGAAAGAACACTTTCAGCAACATGATTTATGTTGGTAATATTTTTGCCAGATTCCAGTGACTGACGGTGAAGTTTATTTAATTATTTTCAACAACAAAAGCCACGTTGCTGAAACTATAGTTTTAGCAACTTAGCCCATATTGCTAAAAGTTTAGGAGAAATGGTGGTTTTCAGAAGGTGGTTTTCTTTTCTCATTTTCAGCAACAAGACTTTTGTTGTTGAAAGTTCAGAAATAGTACATTCCCTAGTTTTCAGCAACGTATGTCTTGTTGCTGATATTTATTTACATACTTCCCTTATATTAATTAACTACTTAATAAATTTTAGTTTAATTAATGTAAATTAAATAATATCAATTAATTAATGTCCTATTATGTATTTTACCAAATTTGAATTTTATTTTATTAATTTATTTTATTAAAAATTACAT